TTATAAACTAAATATGTCCCAAGTTTTCACTAAAATGTCAAACAAAATTGACTGCTAAGAAAATTAAAGCTTATCTGCACCGGGGAAGAGAGGAAAACCAAAAGCATCTAAAAATATTTAAAATTCAGAAACCATGTGATAGTTCTATCCTCCTGCCCTATTTTCACTTCAGTCAGCTGAGTACAGATATATCTGAATTGCTACACAGCTAGAGGTGCTGTGTCAGTTCACAGATGCATCCTTGAAACTAACTGTAACAAACATAAAAACCAAAGTGCCTTCTACACAACTCATTCTATGTTGACCACGTAATAAAAAGAAATGGTCAATTTTTTGTCGGCATCTCTTTAACAAACATGTACTCACACTTGCTTGTCTAAGGCCCATGACCACACCACTGAACACAAGAGGACCAGGGCTCTGTACACATACAGATCCACAGGCTGAGGCCAGGCACCACTGCTTAGCGGCTAAAGTCCTCGCCTTGCATACACCAGGATCCATATGGGTGTTGGTTCTAATCCCGCTGGCCCCACTTTCCATCCAGCTCCCTACTTATGCTCTGGGAAAGCAGTGAAAGACAGCTCAAAGCCTTGGGATCCTGCATCCACGTGGGAGACCCAGAAGAGGTTCCACGCTCCTGGCTTCGGATGTGTTAGCTCCGGCTGTTGCAGCCACTTGGGGAGTGAACCATCGGATGGAAGATCTTTCTGTCTCTCCTCCTCTCTGTATATCTGTCTTTCCCATAACTAGGTAATTACAGACATATGAACAAACTTACAACTCTGATCTGTGCAGCAATAGATACGCTCAGCACAAAGCAATAGGAACTCATTTAAAGGGGCTTAAACTGCGGAAAGGGAAGTTCACAAGTAAACTTAATACAATCTAATCATGTTTTCATAAGCACTGATGCAGATTTCTAAATTAAAATCTAATTTTGTGCAGCAAGAACTCAAACAACCCAACAATGAAACTCAAGTTATGCTTCCTGACCTGAACCTTCTATCTGGAAAAATACTGCAAGGATCTCAGCTATGGAGCAGCACCTTGACAGAGCAGGTGAAGTCGCCCACAGGCTTTAAACCGAGGTATTGTTTTCACTGTATCGACAAATTTCACTGTGGTGAAAAGCACCTTAGTGATGGTAGGTTATACTTCACTTTGTTTCATTATTCCACAATTTAGAAAACAGGACTATGCAGATCACTTGGCATACACAAAGCAGAGCCTCGTTAGACACCTATAAATTAAAGTCATCTTCTTAGCAATTAAGTCCAATCTAGTAGAAAAGGCAAAAAAAAACAAAACATACTCAACAAAGACCTGGCTCAAGTTAACTCACAGGAAACAGTCTAAAGTTCACCTCCCACTAAGACAAGGCTTCTACAGACATTTGAAACAAAATCCACATTTGACTATTTTCTTTGAAAAAGCATGATTACGGAAGTAAGTAGAACACAGCATTTTCAATTCAAGTTCACTATACTAGCTTCTACTTGAGAACCTGTATGTGGACCTTAAAGACAAATACATATTAAACAGTAGTGAATAACTGAGTTAAAAGGAGAATTTCAAAAGCATACTATATATATCACTAACTTCTATCATGATATACTTCCAATCTAAAACAAAAACAAACACACCTTACAAAGCTTTCAAATCACAGCTCAACACTGCTAGCTCTTCTGAGTACAAAATAACTTAAAAGACAACAAACTGGATCTGGCATGGGGCGGCTCCATTTCCAGTCCATCTCTCTGCTGGTGGCCTGGCAACAGCAGTGGCAGGTGACCCAAGCATTTGGACCCCTGCGCCCAAGTGGCAGACAGACCCAAATGAAGCTCCTGGCTCTTGACCTCAGCCTGGCCCAGCCCTAGCTGTGGTGGACAAAGGAGAAATGAACCAGCAGACAGAATCAATCTCTCTCTCTCCACCCACCTCTCCCTCTCTCTATTTCTGATTTTCAAATAAATACATAAAAATAAATAAATCTTAAAAAAAAATAAGTTAAATATATCACAAAATCTTGTTTCCAGTATCCTGTAATAACCTCCAAGTGTTGTATTTTATGAAATCTCCACAATTAAAAATAAATGAGGGCCTAGTACAATGGCTCAGTGGCTAAAACCTTGCCTTTGTACAGGTTAGGATCCTATATGGGTGCCGGTTCATGTCCCAGCTGTTCCACTTCCTTTCCAGCTCCCTGCTTGTGGCCTGGGATGGCAGTGGAGGACAGCCCAAAGCCTTGGGACCCTACACCTGCGTGGTAGACCTGGAAGAAGTTCCTGGCGCCTAGCTTTGGATCAGCTCGGCTCCAACCATTGTAGCCACTTATGGAATGAGTATCTAACTTCTCTCTACAGGTCTGCTTTTCCAATAATAATAATTAAAAAAAAATCTTAAAAACAAAAAATGAAAAGTAGTAACTATGTTAATTTTATATCAGTAAACTTTTTACAAAATATCAACATCAGACAATATTGTTTTCTGTTTATTTCTTAAACTATAATTTGTCATCAAATTTCACCCCAAAGTGCAAATGAAACATCACAATACATCCAGTAATAATTTTAACATATGTGCTAACAATCCTGAGAAAGAGAAAAGGACTTAAAAAGTCAATGCATCACAGTAATTAAGAGACAGATTATTGCACTGGAAGAAAACTGTCTAATAGGAGTGGGAATTTGGCAGAGCAGTTCAGCTGTCCTCAGGACACCCGACAGCCTGCATCACTGCTGATCCAGCTTTGTGCTGCCGTGCACTGGGAGTCACCAAGTGACAGCTCCTGCACCTGAGTGCCTGTCGCCGACCTCCAAATGCCTGTCGCCGACCCCCGTGGCCTAGCTGCAGTTTTGAGCTCATTGTTCTGTCCTGGCCCAGCCCTGGCTATTGCCAGCATGAAGATGGTAGAGAAGGAAAAAGGAGTGAACCAGCAAATGAAAAATGTTCCAAATACAATGAAAATAAATTTAAAAAATCTGATAACTACGGCATACGTTATACTGATGTCTATAATAAAATAGCTACTTAGATAAGTATCTGATTATGGAAAAACAAGAAATAGTAAAAGTTTGGAACAACCCATTTTTAGAACATGGTAAATAATCTAAGAAAAAATTAAATAAATAGAAGGGAACAACCCAGTATTAACATTCTTCAGAAACCATACCATAATGTACACATGATAAGCACAATCAAGAAAAGCTTAATTTTACTTTTCAATAAACATTTAATTAGCCACTCATAACCTTCATTTAAATGTTTAGTAAATCACATACATGATTCCAATGACTCAAGTACCATACCACACAATTAACTAGACAGCTTGTATCTCCTCAAAATGAAGATTGCTTGCTTTATCAAAGACACATCCTGTGCTCTTTCTGAGATTTTACCCCATACTGTTTTAAAAAAGAAACATGCATGTGCTCTCCGCCTTAAAAAACCCAATACTGCATGGGACAGAATGGACCAGTCTGCTGTACATACTGGCAAGCATGGGAACCAAGGCAGGAGTGGGCCTGGCGGGGATTCTCACGAGTCACCCCTACTAGGCTGCAGCTATATGTGGCCAGATGTGTGGTGGACAGGATTGGGGTGGCCTCCAACACCCACTGGTTCATGTAAAACACAGGGCTGGAAATAGAACTGACCCAGCAATAGCAACCACCAGCATGTGCATAAGCTGATTGGGGCAACGAACTGTGCCAGAATCTGTACAGGCATACACACACCAGATTCAGGCCTGGGATCATCTCAGATGAAGTTTGTTTGGGGATTCCTCCAACTGAACTGCTGATCTCAGAACCCCAACCATGAAGACAAGTGCAGGTTCCCTGGTCTGACCATGGAGTGCATGTGCCAAAGCTGAGCCTCCCCAGTGGCTCAGACGGAACAGGGGACAGCATAACCAGGTGTACTTGGAGGATATGGCAGTCCATCAGAACCCGCAGAGGACACCTGGTACCACAACAGAGGATGGAGGACAGAACAAATCAATCAACTACTCCAGCCGTGTGTTGGCAGTGAAAATCTGGGCCAACAGAGACTTTAAAATGAACTGTATCAGCCAGTGGATTCTGGAGAGATTTCTTCATGCTTGGCATGGCGAGACTGGCAGCAATTCAGAACTGTTAAAATATCAAAACCACTTGAGCAGTGCCCTTGGAGCATGCCCCACGTCGGGGGCCTAGGATAGATGGGAGGTTGGGTGGGACTTCTCCCTTTATCTCCTCCCGTACCCCAGATACAGAAAAAAGAGAGAGAGAATGTGGAAACAATGGTCTTAATCCACTTTCCTGTAGTCCCTGACCCTCTGTGCCATAACCAATTATGTAAAGATTATCAAAATAATATGAAATGTAAAAAAAAAAAAAAAAGTACAAACTGAACTAAAAGTTCAAAGGCAGTAGAAACGCAAATAAATACATCTAGTTTGTGCATGTTATTCTTCCACTTTAAGCATGATAGGAGAATGAATAAAATCATAGAAAATAATGCGTTCGCGTCCATGTAAGTATACAAGTGAGGGACACAAAGAATGTGTGCTTTCTTTTCAAAATTTTCTCAAAGTATGACACAAGTTATTCAAGACCTTAGAGATCTTTGAAAAACCAGTAGAGACCTTATTTTTAATTCTTAAGATTGGACACTATTACCAACACATACACTCACACATGCACCATCTACTGTAAGAGGAATCTTTCCTATAACATAAAGCAGTAACACAATTCAAAATAAATATTCTTAAACATAAAAGGTACTTATTCCACTGATGATCCTGATTCAACAATTTTAGTTACACCAAATTCCACTCTCAAAAAAATTCATTGACCTTAATCTTTGAGCAAACACTGTGCGCTGCAGAAACTCCTGTCAATATTGACAAACACGTCAAACTGCATTTGGCTGGAAGGCCTTGCGCGAGCGACACTAAGATCTCTCAGTGAATGTGCACTCCCCGCCCTCGGCGCAGAGGGGCAGCTGCTACTCACAGGAAATCTCTGCGGTCCCACAGCAGGCCTCGGCTGGCTTGGAACGGGCAGCAAGGGCACTGCAAGAAAAACCTCTCGTTACAAACAATGTCACTTCATATGCAAACTCGCCAGACAAGAGACATCTGATTTTCCATACCAAACATCTATAATGTGTTATGTGCAGAAACGGAAGACGAGTATCCTTTTCTGTACACTGCAGCAGAAGTTTACATTTAGTTTTGACTTTAATTGGGTCAAGATTTGATCTGAAAAGCGAAGTTACAGTTAAATGGAGGCACAGCAATTTTCCAACACTCCTAAAGTGTTGGCAGAAGGCCTGGCTCCTCCACGATGATGGAAGGGCACTGGCACTCTCGTCGTCTTCCGCTGCTTTCCCCGGACATGTTAGCAGGGCACAGGACTAGAAATGGAGCAGACACGACTTAAATGAGTGCTCACAGATGGTCAATTAACCTGCTGCCACACGCTAGCCTGAAGGTATCTTCAATTTCAACAGTAAATTGCTATTTTAAATTCAAATACTTCACAACAAAAAATAGTATTCCTCTAAAGAAAAAACATGCTTATTTTCATACTTCTGTCTAGAGTGCTCAGGCTAATAAGCCTCAGACCCTAATCATATGCAAATTTAAATCTAAAACATCATGAATCGTGAAAAAGATGAGAGAATGGAAGGAAGAAATGAGGCAAGCAGAAAAAGGAAAATTGCATATCCTGGAACTCGAGGAAATGCAGAAATATCCTCATAGAAAATGATTAAACAAACTGCTATTCCAAAATGTTCAGGTCACTTACAGACTTTTTTTTAAATAAAAGATTTATTCATTTTTATTAAAAAGGCAGGTTTACAGAGAAAAGGAGGGATAGAGAGAAAGATTTTCCTTGCTTTGCTTCACTCCTCAAATGGCTGCAACAGCCAGAGCTCAGGCAATCCAAAGCCAGGAGCCAGAGGTCTCCTCCAGATTCCTACATGGGTGCAGGGTCCCAAGGCTTTGGATGATCCTGCACTGCTTTCCCAGGCCACAGGCAGGGAGCTGGAGCGGAAGTGGAGCAGCCAGGACACGATCCCGCGTCTATATGGGTTCTTGGCATCTGAAGAGGGAGGACTAGCCACTTCAGTCATTGTGCCAGGACCATGACTTTTAAAACAAAACTATCATCAATCTTCCACCAAAATAGCAAATGAAATAATTTTTGAAAAGATATTTCAGTGACCGGTGTGGTGGTTCAATGCGCTACCCTTTAGCTCATGGTACGAGCATCCCATATGGGCACCAGTTCGTGACCTGATTGTATCTCCTTCTCTCTCTATAAAATCTACCTTTAAAGGCAGGGGGGTGGGGGGGAGGAAGCAACAACAATAAAAGACATTTCAGGGGTAGATGTCACGACATCAAAGATAAAACCTCTGCTTGCAACACCAACATCTCCTATAGGCGCTGGTTTGAATCCCAGCTATTCTACTTCCAATCTAACACTCTGTTAATGGCCTGGAAAAAGCAGCAGAAGATGGTCCAATTTGGGATCCTCACCACCCACGTGCGGGATCACGATGAGGCTCCTGGCATTTGGATCTTGGCCACTGTGGCCATCAGGGAGTGAGCCAACGGATGGGAAGATATCTCTCGATCTCTCTCTCTCTCTTCTTCCCTGTCTTGCTGCACTTCTGACTTCCAAGTATAGAGACAAATATTAAAAGACATTTCATAGAAGAGAAGGCATTATATGCCAGGTTCATATCTTGGGGCTCAATTAGCTAGGTTCCACCTGTCTTTGAAATGTACATGCTATTGGGCCTAGCACAATGGCTCAGTTGACCAATCCTTCTTTCTTTCAAGTGCCAGGATCCCATATGGGTGCCAGTTCATGTCCTGGCTGCTCCATTTCCCATCCAGCTCCCTGCCTGTGGCCTGGGAAAGCAGTTGAGCAGGGTCCAAAAAGCCTTGGGACCCTGCACCCACATGGGAGACTCGAAAGAAGCGTGTGGCTTTGGATCGGCTCAGTTCTGGCTGTTGTGGCCTCTTGGGGAGTGAACCATGAATGGAAGATATTCTCTCTATGAAGCTTCTCTATAAATCTACTTTCCAATAAAAACAAAATCTTAAAAAATATTCTTTTCCAGCCAAACACATTCTGTATCTTTCATAAACATGCGGTTAGCGGTTAAGAAGCTCTCAATCTGTCAGATGTTGTTAGCTAAAATTGTGCCCCTACTATGTCCGGCCCCAAACTCCTACTCTCTGCGCTTCAAATTGAGACTGTATTTGCAGATAATGTGGCTATCAAACAAAATGCGTTAAGTGTTTGGGAAAGGAACCAAGGGAAAGGAACCAAGGGAACTACAGTCTCACAATATTGAATGGGACAATCACTTTGTAGAGCCTTGAAATGCACAGCAATCTGCACCATTAGAGCAGTAAAAGAGAAGACCTACCTTGAACAGGAGTCACCACGGTTCCCTTGAAGTGTGGATTGATGTGGATGTTCTTGGGCTGCTGGGGAGTCACGGGAGGAGGCGTCATCATTATCCTCGGGGTCTCTATCTGGGGAGGCATGTGCATCCCCTGAGGAGGGGAGGGGTGATGCGGGTGCTGCAAGGGGAGCAGTGGCTGCAGCTGCTGCTGCTGGAACAGACTTCTGATGGGCTGCTGCGGCGGTGGTGGCGGCGGCGGAGGGGGAGGCTGTGGCTGGGGAGGCGGAATTAGTCTTGGAGAGTGAGTCTATAAATCACACAAGAAGAGAAAATTTGTAGTAATCACCTTTTAAAATAAAAGTAAAACAAAATGCTAATACCCTACAAGTGTAATGCTTAAAAGCTAATATTCAAGAAATAACTTTACTGTAACATTTTACATTAAAAAAAAAATCACAGAAAAAATTAAACTGTTCCACCTATTCATGACGAAGGTTACTGTCTCAGGGTCAAGGCAAAGAGAGAGAAAACAGCAGCCCCAAAAGACCAAGAATAAAATCTGAAAGAGCAAATTCATCTTAGCCATCAAACTGTCCACAATGAGCAAAGCAGCTTTCTGGGAACAGAAAGGAAGCCAATACAGGCCCTCACGGAATATCCAGCCTGTTCCGCCTCCAAGAAATCTCGGACAGAGCTATGCCTACTTAGCAACCCTGCCCAGAAATATCCAGAAACCCTGCGCCTAACAAAAGGCTGGAGCTGAAATAAAGCTACATCGATGAGGAGATGGTGGAAAGCTTGTTCAAGAAGATGGCTACTGAGGAGGAGATGCGTCCTGGGGATCAAATGACTGAAATCCCTGGAGGCACCGAGGGGAAGGAACCGAGACCACTGGGCCCACAGCACATTAACACAAGAGGAAGGTGAGGGTATGAAATGACCAACTGCAAGCGGTCAGAGGTGGATAAACTTTTGTTCAGCAGAGTCACCGGAAAAGATGAAATCGACAACAGCACCAAAAGCTGTCGTGTCCTGAGCCCTCCCCTTGCTTGATGTTATCTATAGTAAGATTATTACACAGAAGTGCAGACGCAGGAACTTGACTAGCGAGAGTGTAACCTTTTACTAAGATCAAGTACCTGGTAAGCAGAAGTGCTGGAATTGAAGTCAAACAATCTGATTCCACACGATTAGCAGAATATTACTAGTTCAACCATGCGATTTAGCCAAAGTTTCTCCAGAACAATGACAAAGGGTTTTGATTTCCAAGTGAACACTCCCTTAGGATGCCATGTACAACATGTCTAATGAGGAAGCCCTGCCCACCCCGGGCAGACAGCAGAGTGAGATGCTCTGCATACAGAGGATGGAAGAGGACAGATCATTTACCAAGATATGCCAAGAGATCAAAGGAAGAAACGGCCAGTCTGGCAGGGAGCTAAGAGACAATCCAGGCAAACAATGGGGAGCATTTTAAAACCAAATTGCATGTAACCTTGCCTGGCCTGTCCTTCCTCATGCATTATTTTCTCTAAGGAGTTAAGTACAAGGTTAAACCCAGAGTGGTTCATCCTCCCAGGACGTAGTACACTTTCCCCGAAATATCTGCCAACTGTTCTTCTAGTTAGAAGTAACAAGCAGATTTAATGAGAGAAAACAGAGACAGCTTTAGAATATAAAACACTCAAAATCTCATAACCCAAGAAGAGCTTCAGGGAAGTAACTTATGATACTCAAGGCTCCATAACCTGGTCCAAGACAAACACACAAGGTAAGGTGGCAATTCAGAGAATAACAGTGATGAAATCCAGGGAGCCAAAACTGACCAAGGAAAAACGGGCAGAACTAGCAACACGAGTCAAGAGTATTCCCGCCAGAATGTTGAGAATGAACGCGACAGAGCCGGGGAGCCCTGGAGGGCGAGCTCACAGAATCAAGGTATGTGCGCTTTGGGAGCAGGGAAGCGTTAGTGAACTGGTGGGTATCAGTGCACGTCATGGACTACAGCACGGATGACAGCTCACACTCACGGCTACATCAGACTCAGGTCAGCAACCTGGTTCTCTCTGCTCACAGTTAACTCTGATAGTCCAGATCAGTCACATTAGACCAAAATCCAGAGACAGAATTTCATAAACTAGATTCAGGTCAACTTAGCCACCTGAAGAGTCAGAGTTACACAGACACGATAATGCAAGCCACAGTTTCCAATGAGGCCAAGGTGTAGGGAACGTGGGAAAACAAGGAACAGAAGGCCCAGACTTTTTGATTATTAGAAAAAGCTTAAGAACAAAAAACACCTCTATGAGAAAACAGTGTAATAATAGCATTATCAGATCATGTATGTCCTTTTCTGTCAAAACAGAACTGGCTTACAAAAATAACTCTCACTCTATTTTGCCTGCAGACAGATGGAATGCCACCTAACATGTAAGATCTCCACAGAGGTGATGCAGTTTTCCCACCTAAATTTGGATAACAATTCAGAGGAACATGTACTAGATGCAAAGATCTCATGGTTTGTACTAAGGTAATTTTCCCTGCAGACTGATTTCAGAGAGAAATTGTCTTACGTTCCTAAAACTGAACTGAAACCATAGCAACCAAAAATTACAAATCCTGTCTTTGCTTCTCATTCGGAAATGTTTCCAGGAAAATGCAAATTAAGTAAAAATTAGGCTTTATCTTTGTGGATAGCATATGATACTCCTCGAAGAAAAACCACAATTTAAGGAAAAACTTCGTGTAAACAACATGAAGGGAAAACAATTTTATGCAATAAATAAGCGCTGCCTAAATTGCGCTTGTATTAACTTCAGGAGTGCGTCTGTCTAGAAGCAGGGCACCTCTCAGTCCCTCCTCAGGAAGCAGTAGTGACACAGGATTACTTTTACTTCCAGGTTAGTTGGAGGACTGAATTTCTGAGACAATGAGTGAAAATATATATACTGCAGACAATAAGGGTAGAAACCTTGGGCACTACTTCAGACTAAGACATAAACTTGTAGATTCATAAACATGATACTCATAAAAGCATACTTTTTTGCACTTCTTCGAAAGATTCAAGGTCACTCAAATAAATGCCTCAGATGGACCACCTGTCTGAATAAAACTGTAAGAATTACCACAACAGGAGGCTGCGTAGGCAACAGAGCTGGCCGATGATCTTTCATCCTCCCCCTGTCACTGGTATCTCGCCTCTGGTCTCCCATTCCACGACACATCAAAGAGCCGCCTCTCCTTGCACCCCGCCTGGAACCATAGCGTCCCTGTTTATGCTGTCGCTCTCTTTCTTCGAATTCAAGCAATGCAGCTTTGGCTTCTGCTGAAAGCTCTATTTGAAAAGATGCGCAAGTATTAGATACCGTCAAATGGTCCAAACTACATTTAAAGGGAGACAATATGAAAGAAGTACATGACAATGAATCTTTGGAACAGCACATAACATACCCTCAAATAAACAAGTTTTTAAACTAGCAGTGCCAAGAATAGGGTGGCTGGGGCCGGTATGGGGGCACAGCAGCCCAATTCTCCACTTGCAGCACCAGTATCCCATATGGGTACCAGTTCTAGTACCCGGCTGCTCCAATTCCACATCAGCTCCCAGCTTCTGGCTTGGGAAAGCAGGGAAGGATGCCCCACAGCCTTAGGCCCCTACATCCACATGAGACCTGGAGGAAACGCCTGAGTCCCACCTTCAGATCGGCTCAGCTCCATCGGATGCAGCCATGGAGGGAATGAACCAGCAGATATAAAATCTCTCCAATTTCTCAGTAAAAAAAAAAAAAGCAACTAAATCTTACTACACATAGGCACACTCTCTGATGATGCTCTTCTAGGTAAATAAATCATAAAAACAAATAATTTCATGAACTTACTGTGAAGACAAATTATGAAAGGCAACTCCTCTAAGATCCCAAGTGGGAAAAACTAACTTGTCCAAATATGGTCCCCTTATTTTACAATAAAACCTAAACAGTGATAACAGATTTTAAAATAATAAATGTTTCCTTTTTTTTTTCCCCAAAGAATTTATTTTAATTTGAAAGGCAGATTTTAGAGAGGAGAGATAGGAAAGGACTTTCATCCACTGGCTCACACCTTAACAAGCCTCACTGGCAACAGCTAAGTTCTCCAAAGCCAGGAGCCAGGGGCTTCTTACCAGGTCACACGTGTAAGAGCACAGTCCCAAGGACTTGAGCCATTCTCCGCTGCATTCCCTCCCATGTCACAAGTAGAAAGGAGAGCAGCCAAGACAGGAGCCAGCACCCATGAGATGCCAGCACCACAGGGTGGAGTATTAGCATGCAGCACTACCACACCAGCCCCAAGTATCTCTTTTCTAAAGATGTCACTGAGGGGCTGGTACTGTGACAGCAGGTTAAGCTGCTACCCAAGACACAGGCATTCCATACAGGTGCCGACCTGAGTGTCAGCCATTCCTCCTCTGATCTAGCTTCCTGCTAACACACCAGGGAAAGCAACAAAGGGCCAAGTGCTTGTGCCTAGGCCTCAGAGAGGCCCAAGAAGAGCTCAGAGGTCCAGGCTTCAGCCCAGCCCAGCTCCAGTCGCTGTAGCTATTTAAGAATGAACCCGTGGATAGAAGATCTCTTTGTTTCTCCCACCCCCGCCTGTAATTCTGCCTTATAAATAAATCAATAAATCTTAGGAAAAAAAAAAATGCCAATGACTGCTATAACACCTTATCTTGCCTTCTTCCCCAGTGTAGGATATAGTTTAAATAAATATTACCAGAGTCTGCCTCCTATCTTGGATTCCACCACCATCATCGCCAGACCCTTCCAAAATCCTTAAACCACATTTCATTTTCTTGAAATTGTTTGTAACGGTATCTCCTTTCCCTTCAAATGAATCTAGACCCAATTCAAAAGAGAACCTCTTTTTAACCTGCAAAGAGTTTCATTCTAATCTTGACTACATGATTGGGTCATACACACAATTTCTGCGGTGAATCAGCAATTATTTTCCTACTAGTTCAGAGTGTCAAGATTAATTTCACTATTCTCAGTAATAAAATGGTTTCACATGACATCTTTAATCAGCAAGTAAAAATGCTCTCCTCCAATTGAGACAAGCTGTCACAAAAGGTCACCAAAATATGACAGGATGGAAATTACATTTGTAACTTCAACTGAAATGTTAATTTCCCTTTAAGTGTTTTCTGAGCTATGCCCAGACTTTAAAGAGCTGTAAAGAGAAATGGCTCAATGTTACAAAGTTCACACTGTACTGTCCCTTGCAGAAGTGTTAACACATTTGCGTGTAAATAATTTTACAATAGTGGGAAATGAGTATTTATAGGATATACAATTTGTTTGGCAAAATGAAAATAACAAATGATACACCAAGATTTTGTTTTACAAAATAACTGGATCAAGACATTTTTAAAAGCATACACATACAATGAGTACAATCCTAGAAGAGGGCATGCTGCGGCTGCCAACAATCTTGAACTATTTCTCACTGGATGAAAAGTGTTTTGCCAGCAGATTATTTGCCTTAAATGAAACTCAGGATATTACTTTAAAATAACATCATGTGCTTGTGACAACTAGGTTCTTTAGGACAAAGCAATAAAAGTAACTTAAAATAGCATGAACTTCGGAAACCTTTTCATAAATAGTAATAACTAAGAGAGAAACAATCTTTCATTTATGGCTTTCAAAGGCAATCTACAGACCAAAAAGCAAAGCAGCCCGACACTTCAGGATCTCATCCATGACATCCTGCTTTTCACAACTGCTGTGGACATTATCATTCCAAACAAATCCCTCCCCAAGGGAGAGAGACTGGTTAAACGCACTGGGCCCGTCGCTCACACTGGGATGCTGAGGTTTGATCCGTGGCTCCAGCCTCCATTTCAGCTGCCTGCTAATGCTCACCCTGGAGTCCAACAGCACAGGTTCACGGAGGTGGGGCCCTGCTGCCTGTGCAGAGCTGTGGGAGACCTGCCATTGGCTCCTGGCTAACTGTGCCACATGTAGGGACCTAGACACAGTCCCTGGCCCCGACACCAACTACTGCAGGCATTTGGGAAATGGGAAATGACCCATCGCAAGTTCTCTTTGCTCTCATAAATTTAAGCAACAAAAATAAAAACAAAAGCAAAAATCACAAACATTCCTCTATGTATCTATGCTCCAGGAATTTGGCTTAATTGAGTTCCATGGCAATTATTTTTAAAGATTTATTTTTTTATTTTTTTTATTTTTTGCAAAGTCAGATATATACATATATTAAGAGGAGGAGAGACAGAGAAAGATCCTCTGTCCGATGACTCACTCCCCAAGTAACCACAACGGCCAGAGATGTGCCAATCCAAAGCCAGGAGCCAAGAGCCTCTTCCAGGTCTCCCACGTGCATGCAGAGTCCCAAGGCTTTGGGCCGTCCTCAACTGTTCTCCAAGGCTACAAGCAGGGAGCTGGATGGAAAGCAGGGCTGCCAAGATTAGAACCAGAGCCCATATGGGATCCTGGTGCCTTCAAGGGGAAGACTTCAGCCACTTGAGTTCCAAGAGAATTTAAGCACCACTTATATTCAACACCACTCTTGGTGCTCATTGAACTAAATTATCTTCTGAACATGCAGGTTTTTTTCCTTTTAAAAATTTTTATTGCAAAGTCCGATATACAGAGAGAAGGAGAGACAGAGAGGAAGATCTTCCATCCAATGATTCACTCCCCAAGTGGCTGCAATGGCCAGAGCTGCACCGATCCAAAGCCAGGAGCCAAGAGCCTCTTCTGGGTATCCCCACGCAGGTATAGGATCCCAAGGCTTTGGGCTGTCCACGACTGCTTTTCCATGCCATAAGCTGGGAGCTGGATGGGAAGCAGGACTGCTGGGACTAGAACTGGCACCAATATAGAATCCTAGTGCGTGCAAGGCGAGGACTCCAGCCACTAGGCCACCACACCGGGCCTTGAACATGTAGTTTTCTGCCACTCTCAGGAAAACAGAAAATAGTCACTCAAATCTTTTTCTGTATGGTTTAAATTCCAACATGTTGACAGAGAAAAAAGCTAAGACCTTAACCCAGATGAAAACCTAAAATCCTACTTGCAATACAATCGAAAGTCAAAATACAAACCTTTAACTGCATACTGAGTTCCTTAAAAGCCAGGACTCTGACATATATGAACTAATGTTTTTCCATATTTAAAAAAATGTGTCTGTATGTGAACAGAAACTACAAGTGATAAAAATGCCTTTTAGATTTTGCAAATAACTATTTTACAAGTAATTCTTCAGAATCAGAACAGTGGAAATGTCAGAGCATCATCCAGCTCTTTTTAAAAGAATGAAGTGTTTTCAATACTGATGTCAATACTGATGTCATAAATATTATCTGTATTAATATGCTGAAAGATACCACTTTCCAAAAAACACATTTCATAGAGCAATGGAAAAAGAACCATGGCCTAGCAGCCTAAGCCTATACCTTGGGATGATGGCCCAAGGCCTTGAGCTCCTGCCTCCACATGGGAGACTCAGAACAAGCTCCTGGCTCCCAGCTACAGACCAGCTCAGCTCTGGCCATCATGGCCATTTGGATATGACCAGGGAACAGAAGGTCTCTGTGTTTTTCTTCTGGGTAAAATCTGCCTTTCAAATAAAAATAAATCTTCACACAAATTAAGAAAAAAAAAAAGTCAAAAGTTATAATGAGTAGTTAAGTAACTTCATAAAATCCAATATATCCCAATTATTTATAGAGAATCTGTAACTGCTGTTTCTATCACTAGAATCACATCAATAAAGTGCTAGGATAAAATTTTTTGTTAATTTCTAATTTACAAAATACCAAACACCTTCTTTCTAAAGGAATTCTTCACAAGCAAAAACAGCCATCTCAGGGAACCTACCTTTTGACAGAAAATTCCATTTTGTACTTGGAATAATTTTTGTATTGGAAAAAAAAAAAAATTTGTATTGGGAGCTAACTTTGCAGTAACTGATGCCAAACACCAAGTGTTCTTAAGTTAGAGCTCACAGCTACAGAAAAAGAGCGGTTAGGCATGACATTCACCGTGCCCTATTATCCACCCGATCGGGTTCTACACAAACGCACTCGGGCTCTATGCAAATGCTTACGAGGTGGCACTGATCAAATGTTTCTGTTTCTAGCCACCATGCCTCTGAGGACCTCAGCTCCACTCCCCCCACACTGCAAAGGTGTCAACGCCAACCACAAGCCAATGCCCTTCCAGCCTATCTCCCAACTAAACCACCACAAAGCAGTCAGGTGCCTGGAAGAGACAGAGGAAAAAATTTTCAATTTGAGTTTTTTGAATAAAAAAAAGTACAAATGACATCAGACAGGAACAAGAGAACAGATCTGAAAAGGGAAACAAGCATAAATGAAGCAGAACCCATCACCAGAGGCAAGATGGATATTTCAGAACCGTGACACTAACCAGAGCTTGGGTCAAGCTAAAACGAGCAGAGATGAGGTGGCCACACTGGGGAGCGAGTGGGTGAATACAAGCACAGAAGTATCATGGATCCCAGAAGGCGGGGCCAAAAGAGGAAAAAGAGACCCATGAAACGCACAGTGGCCCTATGGGAGCTGACTGCAGGGGAAGACTCCCATTCCCAACACTGGCTTTCAAGCCTTCTCTAAGAGCTCTGCGGTTATACCAAGAAAAAGCAGGAAAATGATGAGTTTCTTCCCTCTCTGCTGCACCACTCTCACTCCTGATTCAGAAAACCACCTACCTTGCTGTCCACAGGTAAGGATAAAGGCCTCTCCTGGCAGCTCACGCCAACCAGACAGATATCCCTGCCTCTGTGGCACGCTCTGCAATGTTACCAAGTCTTACTGAAGGACACTTCTCCCCCACCCTCCTATTTCTAAGGCCTTTCTTCCATCTCCTTTCATCCAAGTTGCTGAAGAGAGACTATCTCTTAAAACTTACACTTCTAAGGTATCTGGTTACTTTACGTTGCAACCTGAGAAAACTCTAGAAAAATCTTGGCCTAAGATGGAGAATGAAGGAAGTAAGAGGGGAAAAAAGAAAGAAGTTTTCCATAAATATGGCTTGGGGAGAAGTAATTTGGTAAAGACTGGCTTGTCGCTGCTAACTAGTGCATCTTCAGAGCTGAGTATTCACCGAATCCCCACTTGCCATTTAAAGAAAGAGCCTACAGCTCATACTAAACCCAACAATAAAGTAATAGATTTAAGAAGCAACTGAAGTACTAAATCTTGATCTTTATTTAGATTAAGACAAAAAGCACACTCCACTGCCTCCACCCTCCTTAGAAGGAAGGCAATAACCCAGTGTTTCTGCAAGCACTCAGGGTCTCAGGTCTGGTGTTGTGCAGTGCCCTAAACCTCTGTCTGTAAAGTCTGCATCCCATGTGACAGCTCTTCGAGTCCCAGCTGCTCTACCTCCAATTCAGCTCCCTGGGGAGGCAGAAGACGGACCAGGTTTTTGGCCTCCAACAGCCATACAGAAGACTGTGACGGAGTTCTTGTTCCTGGCTTCAATTACAGCAGCCATCTGGGGAGTGAACCAGCACATGAGACACCATGTGTGGCTTTCACTTTCTCTCTTCTCACTCTGCAACTGGATTCTGAAACAGTATCAACTGAAAACATACTAACAATGTAATTTGAGGGGGACTGGGGAGGTCGGTCTACCCTAGATCTAATCAATCAGCAAACTTGTTAGTTCTAAAATCGGCCCTGGAGATGACTCTGATGCTCAAACTGGAATCACTGCGTTATTCTGCGCAGCGCACACTGGAAGACTATACAAAAATCACGTAAGGACACTGCTGCAAAGGTCTTTCAGTTCAAACTACATCGCTCTACCTTTAGGTCTTTAATTGCACAGAAGGATGATCATCTTGTTTCATTAGACACTTAACAGGCTAGCAGACAGAAAATAAAGGACACCAAGCAGGTGGCTATGAAGCATTCAGAGGTTCAAAAGAATCAGTCTGACACAGAATTAGTCCTGGTAACCACAGGACTCGGCGAGTTTCAAATGGCCCCATAACGACCACTCTTCCATCACCTGAGAACCAGCCAGGAATCATTTGATGTGTTGGAAAATAATTTTAGGCCACAGACTCGCAATGAAAAATTATTATAAGATTCTTAAATATTTTATTCAGCATTTTATATCCAGAAATAACAAGCCATCTTAGAGAACGACCTTTACAACACGATTAACTCAGCACTGACTCCTGACTCCTGATGACATCCACGACCACCTACAGACACATTTCTTTTCTCTTTGATTAATAAAAACAGTATTATGGAGGAGGCTGAAATGGAAGTGAAGAGGGATGAGAGACAGGCAAAAAAAGTTACCCAAAGTTTCTGGAATGTTCCTTCTCTCTCTAGTTACATCTGAGAGCCTAATAATTGTTCCTTCTTTCCTTTCAGTTTTGAAACGTAATCGTCCAGATTCTTCATCGTCATCATCTTCTTCATCTGATTCTTCTTTTATGTCCTTCTGGAGTTCCAAAGTTTCCATACCTCCCTATATTACAGACATACAAAGCAAGAATGGACAAAAAAATGAGTTCATAATCTTTCAAATTAAAATTCAAAATGCTAAAATATTCTTATCTAAGATATAAAAACATTGCAACACTGTGCCATTAGAAAGTCATGTGAAGCACTAAGTTCACTCTTGAAGAAAATAGTACCAACCATTAAATTCACCCGATGAGGCGTCAGCATTCCAGCACATGTAGCTTGAGCCCTCACCTGCACCTGCCAGCACCTCATGGGAGACCACTGATTCAGGTGCTGGTACTACACTACCAATAATGTGCCTGCTGAAGTACCTGGGCAAGCAGCAGATGGCAGTCAGCTGTTTGTGCCCCTACCCCCTACCTGGGGGACCCAGAGGGCATTCCAAACCCCCACTCCAGTCTGGACTAGCTCCAGCCACTTCAGCCATTTGAAAAGTGAAGTAACAAAGAGCCCAATATCGCTTTTTCTGCCTCTCCCTTTCTCTCCATCCCTGCCTTTCAGATAAATAAAATAAATCTGGTTTTAAATGACTGAAAGTTGGAAAAGTTCAAATTCCTATTTGCAGTTAATGTACAAAATTCTATATAATACTGCTCACACTTTTGAAGGAACAAACATAAAAGTTGCTGATAAACCTATTGCTTCAAGTTTAACTCAAATTATAGCAAAGTTCAACCAACACTAGAGTTCTACAGACTTATTAACAAATAACCTAATTTGTAACTTAGATGACAACATATTACTCGCAGTTATACGGGCTCAACATTTCCCAAGTCCGGATCCCATTGAGCTGGACCTTTCCTGATGGCAGAGTGGTCTGATGCGGACTGCACTGCTGCTGTCGTGTTCCCAGCCCAGTCGCCAAGCTCTCCCTTTCATGCACTCTCACTCCTTCCTGCTGTCTGTCTACAGTTGACTTCACCACTGTTTCTTTGGCTGAGACTGATGGAAGAACACAACCATTTTTTTTCATCCATTCGTTCACATTCAAACCAGTTTTTGGTATAAAATCTAATGCTATAAATACTCTCCAAAAAAATATGTCCTACCCACACCCCAAAACCAAAGTAATTTTTCATGGCCAACTGTTACCCCTGAGGATCACTCAAGTTTCCTCTGACGAGTCACCTTTTCCCTCAAGGTCAGTGTCAGAGATACACACTCTTAGATGTAAGGCAGGAACCTACTAAACACAAGGTTCACGCAAATCCTTTTTTTAAAATGAAGAAAATAATCTACTTCTTTAATCTCATGTTTTGTAATCTTTGATGAAAGTTTTTTATTCTAAACAGAAATAAAAATAAGGGGTCAGCTTATGGCACAGCAAGTTAACCCTAGAGTTGAGAGTCCTAGCTGCTCCACTTCTGTTTCAGCTTCCTGTTAATGCAGCTGGGAAAGTAGCACAAGATGGCCCAGTACTCAGGCTCTGGATGCAGTCCCAGCTTCCTATCTCCACACTGGTCCAGCCCCAGCTGCTGCGACTATTTGAGGAGTGAACCAGCAAAGAGAAGAACTTTCTCTCCCTTTAAAATGAACACATAAATCTCAAAAAAAGAACTACTTTCTCAAGAAATGAACATAGAAAAGATTAAACCCACTGACACAATTTTTTACTTTCTTTTCTCAACATCTTATGTTAATGCTAACACAACCCGTGCACATGGAATGACATCTTCAGGAACACAAGTGTCCACAAACAGAAGGATAACGGGAAATTGTGGGATCAAGATGGCGGAATAGGGTAAGGACACGTTTAAATAGACAGAGAAATTGTAACTTTAAGTCAAAAGATCACAACTCCAACTTTGAGCATTCTTCTGTTTGGTATAATTCAAAATTTGCAAAGTACTAAAATTTAAATATTTTTTGTTGTTTAATATCATTATTCTGTATTACTGAGACTCTTAATGAAGCTAACTGTGCCTACAAAACCAGCATCCCCAGGAGCACCAGTTCTAGTCCTGGCTGCTCCACTTCCATTCCAGCTCATGCCTGGGAGGGCAGCACAGGATGGCTCCTTGGGCCCCTGAAAGAAGCTCCTGGCTCCTAGTGTCAGACCGGCTCAGCTCTGACCACTGCAGCCATTTGAGGAGTGAACCAGCACGTGGAAGCCCTGTCTGAGTCTCCACCACTAACTCTTCCAATTAAAAAAATCAATCTTTTAAGAAAAAAATTAGTGGTAGGTATGACCTCTGCTTCCAGAGCACTTCCAGCAGTGTTCAACTTAACCTGTCACCAGTCACTGGACATTTTGTTGAAAAGCAGGTTCTAATTCAGCAAGTCCAAAGAATAGCCTAACATTTCCAACAAGGCCCCAGAGAAAGCCTGTGCTTCAGGTCCACATATCGAGTAAGTAACAAGGTTAGAAGAGGAAAAACAAAATCATATCACAACGGTCACTTTTAAGTCTACTATTAACTGTGATTACAGTTCACTTTCCAAACAGTTCACTTTCCAAACAAGTTTATCATAACACAAGATAAACAGGAATTAATGTAGCTTATTCTACATCCAAATCTCCACATAACAAACTTAAATATGAAAAAAAGACATTGAAAATCATTGCTCTTTGAAGCAAACCCTATGGGAGATGGGTGGGGAGATGTGTCTATAGGTCATGACATTGCACTATTCAATAAAATAAAAGCTGTAGAAAAGTGTTACAGCTCTATCCAGGCTCATCAAAACGGCAAACACCATGATTAGATACTGGGATATATCCAGGTCTCAGAATGCTACTGAGCAGTAAAAAGGACTAAACTACTGATGTAAGTAGGGGGGAAAATAACAAACTATGCTACATGGATGAATTTCAAAAATGTATATACTGGAGGGTCAGCAGCATGGCATGGCCTGGCCTGGCCTGGCAAAATAGGCCAAGCCTCTGCTTTGCATACCAGCATACCAATATGAGCATCAGTTCACGGCCCAGCTGTCCCACTTCCAATCCAGCTGCCTACTTACAAACTGGGAAAGCAGTGAGATGGCTCAAGTCTTTAGGACCGAGCACCCAGGTAGGAGACCCAGAGAAGGTTCCTAGCTCCTGGCTCTGGATTAGCCCAGCTCTGGTTGTTACAGCTGTTTGAGTAGTAAACCAGGAGATTGAAGTACTAGCTTACTATGTCCATCTCTGTTAACTCTGCATCTTCAAATAAAAATAAAATAAGCCTTTAAAAAAAATCTAAACATTATAGTTAATCCACCTCGTGCTTCCGTTAAGCAATGACCTGCATCAAGGGTTAGGCAAGCTTCCCGGTGCAAGGACACCAAGCATAACTAATACTACACTCATTGAGGTTTGCTCATCTCTTCAAGACCCTCCTAATTCTTACTCTAAAAGGAGAGTTCTAAAAATCAGTTAATTAAATCTATGTGCCAAAATGTTGACCATTGTTCAGTTTTAACAAATATTATCTCAATTCCCATTCAGGCAAAATTCCCTTGGAGGTTAGTACTGGGTTACAGTATAAAAGCCATATAATGGGTGTAGTGTTACACGATTGGAAAGCATTCGGCTTAGTAGTTAGGATGCCAAGGTAAGACGCTCGCACCCCCTATCATAGCTCCACGTGCAGCTTCAGCTACCTCCAGCAGAACTGGGGAAGCAGCAGCGATGCCTCCTGGAACACATGTGCCCGACTCAGTAGTTCCCAGCTTGAGTCTCAGCCCAGTCCCAAGTGCTGCAGCCATCTGGTAGCTCTCGCCAGTACACTTACAAAATAACAAAATAAAGAATCTCTTAAATCATAGAAACCTGAAGTTATATTATAGAAAAAAAAGTGTGATTTTTGAAAACCTGTAAGAATTACTTTTAATCTGTAATAAAGCATGGATATGAAAATCACTAGGAAAAGTTCTAAAAAATGAAAAGGTCCCTATAGGCCTTTTTAAGAAGGGGTAAGTGAGTGAGTGTGTGTGTGTGTGTGTGTGTGTGTGTGTGTGTCTTGTCAGAGAAGAGAAAGACTGATTAAAAATTCTACGGGGTAAGAAAGCAGACTTTGGTTATATCTTTAACTTCTGAAATTCTGAAAGCATCTATAATCTCAGTGTGTAGCAGGCAATTTCAATATTCTATTCCCAAACCAAAATAGAAACAGTGAGTAGTTCTGAGACAGGAAAAACTATAAAAACTAACGCTGCTACAAGGTTCGTCAAAGTCATTCGTGCTTATAGGATAATTAATAAAGGGCCTGCAGGCACTTGGTAAGCTGGAGTTCCCGTGTTAGAGAGCCTTGGTCACGTCCCAGCTTCCTCCTAGCACACTCTCTGAAAGGAGGCAAAGAACGACCCTCGATGCAAGCACTTGAGACACAGCCTAGCTCAGCCCTGGCTCTTGCAGACATCCGCGGGCTGAACCAGCACAACGATGATTTCTTTATGTCTCTTTCACAAATAAAACGTTGTGAAATATTTTTTTTTAATTGACACAGAATAATTCTCCCAACAATCAAAACATATGAAGTAGAAAGACTGGGGCAATCAAACTAAGCAAAATCTGTAAAAATTAAAATTTTCAAAAAACATCCTTCAGAAAATAAAAGCACATGGAATACAACAACATAGAAAAAGAACTTTACATCACAACCAAATGGAGTTGATTATTTAAGTTCCCTTCTTCACTTTCCCTGGAGGGATCCTTGACCTAAGTGAATTGTTTCCAAAGAGCAGATTAAGGAAAGGAAGAAATCTGGCCACACCGTCCTACCCCAAGGACCTGTGTTACCATCACTAACGACTGTCATGTACTCAGGAGACGGGTGGCACCATCACCAAGGACTGTCATGTACTCAGGAGAAGGGTGGCACAAGGGCACATAAGCTCTGGAGTGTTTTTTCCTAAAAATTCTTAACTATGGTCTAACTGTGAGAGAAGTAGCAGACAAACACAAACTAGCAGAAATCCCATCTGGCAAGGACTTCTGCCACTGTCTTTACCTACGACGTCAGGATACACTCAAATAGCAGAATGACATGGATTTATGACTGTTTTTCCAGGACGATG